GGAGGTCATCGGCGTCTCTCTTGGGCCTGGGCTTGCTCTCCGCGCCGACCACAGCGGGCACCGCGTTGGCGATTTGCGGGCCGATATCGGCGCGGCATACTGGGCAGCGCTTGTCTTCGCGCTCCTTCATCGTCGCGGCGCAATCGCCACAGAGAAGATGGCCACAATAGAGGAGCTTCATGAAACTCTCGTGCTCCGGGTTGGTCTCGGACGCTTTCACTGCCTTGTAGCAGACCGGGCACTCGCAAGAGCGGCCAAGCTGCTGTGCGAGCTGTTGGAATTTCTTGAGGGTTTCGTCGAGCGTCTCGGCCAATTGCGGAGGAAGGTTTGCAGCTGCGGTGTCCAGGGGCTCCCGGATATCCTCGAGATTCTCCCGCAATTCCTGGACGGCCTCCATCTGCTCGAAGAACATGGACCAAGCGTGCTTGTTCGCGCGCCTGAAGGCGTTGGCCTTGGCCAAGAGCTTCCTGTGGCCCTCGCGTGTGAAAGGGAACGCGGCCTCGGTGATGATGTCGCGGGCTGCAGCCATGGGTTGACAGTCGAGGCAGAGAATCACTTGACAAGACGCGCGCTTGAATCTCGCAAATTGCTGCACGTGTGTATGGATACTGAGCGTTTGAGAGAGAAGGCGCGCCTGGGTGCGGTCCTGTGCTCGTAAATTTCTGTAGCGAGATCGATCACCTATGGTCCCTTGGCTCGCACATGAATAGCGTTGCATGTCGTCGCGGTGTGCAGGCATCCAGTGGCTGACTGCATCTCTCCACGCCTGCGGTGCATTGTCCTGTCTACCCCGCCGGCACTTCCGCACCTTGGACCTGGGCCTTAGCTGCGCGAGCTTTCGGTCAGGTCGCGGGCGGCCCTCTGCAGGGACATGCGTACAGGTACAACACAAGCTCTGAAATACGTTTTCTTTTCTGCAAAACTCGACTATGTCACATGGCTGTGCTTTTGCGGCCTCTCTTTCTACACTTCGCTGAAGCTCTGTTCACAGCTGAGGAGCCAACGCATCTAGGGCGTGCTGTGAAGACTAAGTCTGCTGCGCCTGCCCGCGCACAGGCTGTGGGACTTCAGATGCCGCCGTCGCGCGCGCTTCGATCGCTGTGCGCGTCGCCACGGCCGCGATGGAGCCCGCCTGTCGTGGTCGATTCAGCTTCCAGCGACAGTGCCGTCTCGCCCGAAGCTGTCGAGGGGAAGCTGCGAAAGGTTTCGACGAATGTGCGGAAATCGTGCGCACGCGGCTGCTCGTAGGAGGCAGCAGGATACTGGGCGCGAATTTGGCCCACCGACGTCAGGCGATCGATCAGACCCGCGGAGCCCGCGGAGAGCGCGCAGTCCCCCGGACGCAGCCCAGCGCGCCACAACTCCGGCACTCCGGTACTCCGGTACTCCGGTACTCCGGTACTTCGGTACTCCGGTACTTCGGTACTTCGGTACTTCGGTACTCCGGTACTTCGGTACTCCGGTACTTCGGTACTCCGGTACTCCGGTACTCCGGTACTCCGGTACTCCGGTACTCCGGTACTTCGGTACTCCGGTACTTCGGTACTCCGGTACTTCGGTACTCCGGTACTTCGGTACTCCGGTACTTCGGTACTTCGGTACTTCGGTACTTCGGTACTCAGGTACTCCGGTTCTTCGGTACTCGGGTACTCCGGTTCTTCGGTACTCCGGTACTGCGGTACTTCGGTACTTCGAGGTTGACACTAAAAACGGAGCGCGCGCAACTTTTCACACTGCGCAAAAAGAAATACTCATCAGATTCGATCGCTCACGCGATCGAACAGTTTTGGCAGAGGACGCGTGAGCCGGTGCCCGTCGACCCTAAGCTTTAGGCCGGGGAGTTTTTCTTTAAGCCAAGCTTCGCCAGCCTCGCAGATTCTAGGCTCAGCTAAGAGTTTCGGCTTGAGCCAGTCCAGCCTAGCCTACGCTCCATATGTAAAGGCTAACCAGCTCGCTGAGCTGGCTAAGTCAGGGCTAGGTAGGCTTACAAAGCAGGCAGACAAGTATGCAGGCAGGCAGGCAGGCAGACAGACAGGCAGACAGATAGGCAACTGGCAGGCAAGCAGGCAGGCAGGCAGAAAGACAGGCGGGCAGCTAGCAGGCAAGCAGGCAGGCAGCTGGCAGGCAAGCAGGCAGGTAGCTGGCAGGCAGGCAAGTAGGCAAGCAGGCAGGCCGACAGGCAGACAGCCAGGGAGGCAAACAGGCAGGCAGTTGGCAAGCAGGCAGACAGACAGGCAGACAGACAGGCAGCTGGCAGGCAGGCAGCTGGCGAGGCAGGCAGGCAGCTGGCAGGCGGGGAGGGAGGCGTTTGGGTCCAGGCTGGGCTCTCGGAACGGCTGGGCCAGAAGCCTAGGATCGGCGAGGCTAGGCCCCGTTTGCCCTGTACTGTTTCACCAGAAGACAATTTATCCGGGAGGGTTGTCCTGGAGGTCACGGAAACCTGAAAGCTCTGGCACAACAAAATCGGAAACACATGAAAACACGGTGTTTTTGCCGCCCAGGTGACCAAAAACCTGTGAGTTCTGGCTCATAACTCCAGAAAGCAGCCCAAAAAATGTCGGGGACCCCCTCAGCGTTCGGAGAAAACGCACATTTTTGTAGATTATGTGTGTTTCATGTGTTTTTTTGACATTCTAGTGAAAGTGGGTCCATGGGAAGGGGGAAGGGGGTAAACCTCCCCCATTCAGAAGGTTCTAATACACTCCGACCGAGGGTCGACGAATTTCGGTGCTGGCTACGACGGGGGGCTTCACCGCATCAAGCTTCTGGGGGGCGCTTGCGCTCTAGGTGACGATGCAATGCACATGCACGGTTTTTGCGGCAAAAGGCTGGAGCAATGCCCCGCATGGACTAGAAAAATAAACTGCAAGCACTCATTGTGTTGTCAAAAGTTACGTAGCTATCTCGCGCTGGCCCTTGCCGAAAAGGAAGCTGGCTCCTCTTCGGGCTCGTTGATCGGCGTCAGATCATGGCGGATTGGCGGGGCAGCCGGGAGCTGCGCCCTCACTGTCGGCTCCTCTTCCGGCTCGATTTTCCAATTCTGTTGAGAGTATCCTTTGGGCGGCTTGATCTTGATGGGCGCGTCGAACCTCACAGCATGAGACACGACGTGGCAAACCTTGTCCTGCCCTGCCCATCTGTAGGAGCAGCATTCCTCGCACGTGCGGTATTCCGACAAGTAGATGAGGCCCACGGCGTGACCATAGTAATCACCAAGGGCGCAGTCCACAGGCACCGTGTTGATAACAGCTTTGAAAAGCTTTGCCCATTCCGCTTCTCGCCAGTTGCGGTCCGTGCCCACAACGACCACCCACCAGCCCAGCCCAAGCGGACTGCTCCGGTTCTCCAACACCTTGCCACCTGTGAGCATCAACTCCGCAAGCTCCGGTCCCTGCACGCGCAAGGCCCGAGTGATCGCAGGAGCGTCTGGACGGTGGCCGCCAGCGAGCACCGCTATCTCCAGCTGCTGGAGCTGCTGTTGCGGCAGCGCGCCCAATCGCTGAACGAGGTCGTCCTTCTTTCCGCTCTGATCAAGGCCATACTCAGCACACCTTTGCTGGAGCTGCGGCAGCTTCTCTTTCATGAGGGCGCTCTGAAGGTAATCCAGAGGCACGCGCTTCCCGTTCACCATGGCGAACGAACCATCGGGGCTGACACGGTTCCTGACGCAGCGCCAGGAAAAGGTGACGCAGAGCCCGCAGTCCTCGCAGGCGGGGACGCTGTGCTTCACGAGCCTGTTCACCTTCCCTGGGAGGACATAGGAATCGCCAGGCTGCATGCGGACCCTGTCGATCTCTTCGCCATCCAGAGAGTGGAAGACGAGATCCCTCGCAGCCCCCACGCGGTCGATTTGCACGGGCAGCTGGGATTCAAACTTGCCGCCGCCGTCCGAGAATGTTTGGTCCTGATGAGGTGCGATGTAGTCGGCACCCGTCAAATAGATGTTGACGACGCAATTATTGGGCGCGGTCCCGGTCTCGCGTCCGATTTGCTCGGCACGTCGTCGCAGCAGCTCTGGCATAGGCTGCGCCCTCTTCCAGCCGGCCTTCGTGAGGCCGAAATTGTAATTTGGAAGCAGACCCTTCTCGTCGGCGACGCCGTACATGAGTTTCAGGTGGTGAAGCTTCTGGTGGCTTTTGCCTGCCATAACGACGCTATGGGGTTCGCCACAAGCCACTCGCTCCTCTGCCCAGTGGAACAATTCCTGCTGCTGCTGGGGCGACAAAGCTCCGCGGCTGCCTGCACGATGATGGCCAGCTCGAATCATCTGCACCAAATGCTCCCGCGTTAATTCCCGTGGAGGGCTTTCGTCGCCGACCTCGTCGCAGAGGCTTGGTGGTGGAGCATCGACGCCATTGCCGAGCCTCTCTGCTACTGCTCCGGTCTCCGTGTCAGCTTTCGTGATCGCGCGGCGTGGCTGCTTGGTGGGTGGAGCCGCCTCTTCCATAGCCTCGCGATCCCGAGCCTGGTCCGCCACCGCAGCTTCTAGCTCGCCTCGCTCTTGCCACCATTTCTCTGCGATCTGCCGGAGGCTCCGCTTCAAGTTCGCAGGGTCTGTTTCGTGCAGGGCTCGTGCATCCTGAGAATTGGTTCCTGATTCGCTTGGCGAGCGGACGCCTCGGCTTCCCAAGGCAAGAAGCTTCGCGTGCAAGCCCGCTCTCCTCGTCGAAATCGCCTCCTGCAGCTTCTGCCTGAGGGCACGGAGTCGAGCAGGATCGTCGGGCAGATGTTTCTCCATGCGGGCCCTCAGCGCTGGATGCGAAGGCCGACTTCAGTCTGCTGGCTTGAGCCACATGGACGCAAAAAGTAATGAAGTCTGCCCGTGAAGATGGTACTCATATATGTGTTGCGCAGCGTCGAGAAACTCTCTGTCGCCATGGAGGGTTGCAAGCGATGTCAAAGAGCCGAGCGTGGTGCCTGAATTGCAGCACGCGCATTTCTTTTTCCACACGTGTCTTCACACACATGGTCAGTCGGGGACACATTGTCGCTACACTAGGCTACGGCTCAGCAGCATCTGGCAACTGCGCACAGGTGGCCTCTAGTTCCGCCACTGCGGCGCCGCTGGCGCAACGGTCTGGCAGCGCACCCGTCAGCCCCACCGCGGGCAGAAGGCGCACCAACAATCGCTCGACGACGTTTACACTTATAGCATTTCCGAACTGCTTGTGCCACTGAGTCTTCGAGACCACCCTTTTGAGCTTCTCCGGACTCATGCCCTGCAGTCGACACCTCTCCCTGAGTTGAGGGCGCGTCCGTGGCTCGAGATCCAAATCTCACCGCCGCGGCTACACAGGCAGGGGCACTTCTCGAGCATGCACGAATCAAACTGACCAATGCTGCCGTACAAATTGAAGAGGCACATGCGCTTCAGTGGCTCAGTGTCGCGCAGAAGACTCGCCATAGTGAAGGCCCACTTCTCCTCGATCGCTCTTTCCTCGAGGGTCGGATCCTGTAGCGGCGGCTGCAAATTCGACAAGGTGGGTTTGGGCCCGCGCTGGTCGAGAAAGCGCTCCATTGGCGGGCATTCGATGGGCTCCGGCCATTCAAAGGCACCCTCCTGGTAGAAATCCTTGCGGATGCAAACGAAGTAGACTCGCGGGCGGTTCTGAGGCACGCCGTGGTCCTTGGTATTGAGCAGCCGCCATTGTACCATGTAGCAGCCCAGTCGCAGCAGCTGGCTGAGCACCTCAGCGAAAGCACGACCCTCGTCAATGCTTGTGAGTCTTTGCACATTCTCCAACACTGCGGCGCGCGGCTTGTGAGCGCGCAGGTACTCGACGATGCTGTAGAAAACCATGCTCCGAGGATCGGCGAAGCCTTCTTGCTTGCCTGCTGCGCTGAATGGTTGGCACGGAAAGCCTGCGACGTAGAGGTCACATGGTGGCGCTTGCGAGTGGTTGCGCTGCAGCATATCCTCGAAGAGCACGGCTGTTTCGAAGTTGGCCTTGATGGTGGCGCGTACGTGCTTGTCCTTGTCGCTTGAGAAGACATGCTTGAAGCGCACGCCCAGATTGAGTAGCGCCTGGATCGGAGCCTCCATGCCACTGCAGTCGGTGCCTACACGCAGAGGGTGGTCGCCCACGTTGCAGAGGCTTGGTGGTGGGGCACCGACGCCGCTGCTGAGCATTTCTGCTGCGGCTCCGGTGGCCGTATGAGCTTGCGTGATCGCGCGGCGTGGCTTCTTGGCCGGAGGAGAGGCCGCCTCCGTAGCTTCGCGAGCCTGGTCTGCCAGAGCAGCTTCTAGCTCGCCTCGCTCTTGCCACCATTTCTCTGCGATGTGCCGGAGGCTCCGCTTCAAGTCCACTGGGTCTGTTTCGCGCTCGTCTTCTCGATGCTGGGAGTCGGTTCCTGATTCGCTTGGCGAGCGGACGCCTCGAACCCCCAAGGCCAGAAGCGTCGCGTGCAAGCCCGCTCTCCTCGTCGAAATCGCCTCCCGCAGCTCCTTCCTGAGGGCACGGAGTCGAGCAGGATCGTCGGGCAGATGTTTCTCCATGCGGGTTCTCAGCGCTGGATGAAAAGACCGACTTCAGTCTGCTGGCTGGAGCCACATAGACGCAAAAAGCAACAAAGCAGGTGCGCATATATGTGCTGGCTTGCGCCACATGGACGCAAAAAGCACCAACGCAGGTGCGCATACATGTGCATGTTGGTTGGCGCGTGCGTAGCGGGATGTAGCCTACCTGAACTGCAATTGCTTGTTCTAGCTATGCCGTCGATCACATTTTCAAAACTCACGCACTGTTGCGTCTATGTTTCTCATCCACTCGAAGAGAAGCTCCCGCCTTTGCTTCTTGATGCGACCGGGCATCTTAAAACCTCTCTTGCACTCACACCCGAGCACCTGAACGTCGTATGCCGTCAGCGGCATCAGTCGCGCCTCCGCACGCGCTCTTTCAATGCCCTCGTGCAAGCCGCTCTCCAAGACTTTGTTCGCGACATCCCTGAGCTCGCGCACCGCCGCCAGACCATCTTTCTGCGCATCCTGCAGGTGGAGCCCCATGAAGCGAAGCCAATATTCGCAACCTGGGCCGATCATCGTGAAGTCGTGGAGGTTCGCTTTCTCGGCACCTAAATGGTCGCTTACATCCCCGAAGACGTACTTACCCCAATAAGGTCCGAAGCAGGGGAGAGCCTTCAGCACCTCCTTGTGGAACCGCTCGTGCCAACTAGTGGGCGTGGTCGCAGGATCCTGCAAAATGCTTGCGGCAGTCCGCGCGGCCGCCCACCAACGCTCCACTGACTGTAGCACGGCGTTCCTCCAAGGACCATGGCCGCCACTGCTCCTCCTGGCGTCGCCGGTGCTGAAGAATTTCTTTGGCTCTCTGTCGTACATCCTGCCTAATCCTTGGCGCAGCGCCTGCACGTCCTCGCCCCCTCGAAACTTTGTCAAGAGAGGCTGGAGCGCTGCCCACGCGTCCCTGGCGTTGTGGTACCTCCAGAGCACGATGCCGAAGATCTGGGTGCGAAGATCTGGGCCGAGAGTGTCGACGATTGTCTTGGCTACCCTGGTTCTTGCTCTGGCCGAAGCATTGGGGTGCGGAAAACTGCAAGGCAAGAACTTGTAGCCAGCTGGGGTCTGCCTGCTCCGTTCCGGGGATGCGAAGCTGGCTGCCGCGATGTGTGCCAAGAAATCCGAGAGATGCTTCGAGTGCTCTTGCGTGATCCAGCGATTCTCCGCACAGGCTGTTTCCACGATTTCTGCAACTCCCTTGAAATCCTCAGCGCCTTGCACGCGGCGGAATCCAGCGTTGTCGCCAGGTGGATTCTGGCGCGCTTTTCCTGCAGCCTGGCTCGAAACTTTGAAGCGCTTCGCTCCGTAAGCACCGTCTTGCGGAGCTTTCCGCGTCCTTGGCGCAGCAGTGGCTCTGGATTCGGCCGCTGCGAGCATGACCTCTAGTTCCGTGCGCTCTTGCCACCAGCTCTCCGCGACCTGCCGCAGGCTGTGCTTCAAGTCCAACGGGTCTGTTTCGCGTAGGTCTTCTCGTTGCTGGGAGTCGGTTCCTGATTCGCTTGGCAAGCGGGCGTCTGGAACACCCAAGGCAAGAAGCTTCGCGTGCAAGCCCGCTCTCCTCGTGGAAATCGCCTCCAGCAGCTTCTGCCTGAGGGTGCAGAGTCGAACGGGATCGTCGGGCAGATGTTTCTCCACGCGAGTTCTCAGCGCTGGATGCGAAGGCCGACTTTGGTCTGATGGCTTGAGCCACATAGACGCAAAGAAGCAAGAAAGCAGGTGCGCATGCGATGCCGGCTTGTGTCACATGGACGCGAAAAGCCGCAAAGCAGGTGCGCATACATATGCATGCTGACTAGCGTGTGCGTAGAAGCATGTGGCCCGCCTGAACTGCGACTGCTTGTTGTAGCTGTGCTGTATATCACATGTTTTTCAAAACACGCGCTCTGCCAAATTGTCGTAGACGCGTCTTTCCAAACGCATCTCACCAGGCCGAACCATCAGCAATGTGCGCGGCCAGGTCCGTGGGCGCATGTGCACGCAAACTCTCCTTGTCATCGCTTTGCTCCGATTGACTGCCTTCTCCGGGCGATGGTGGGCAAATGTGGCATTCTGGACACATTCCGCCCCACACCTCTGGGCAGGGCTCATCGCATGCCGGACACACGCTGTCGAACTCGACATCGTCGCTGCTGGACAACATGTCGCCGCCGTCCACTTCGCTAGGCGTTGTAGCAATGGAAACGTCATCGCGCCCGGCCTTCCGCAGGAACTTCCGTTCACGCGCGAGGCCTGCCTCGACCAGCGCTGCCATATCTTCCTCGCGGCGCTTCTGGAGCGCGGCCTTCACCAGCACCCGGTCGGGCAACGTGAAGAAGACAAAGCGCTTGCACACCGCGTGCTGCAGCTTGATGTCGAACGTCTTGAGCTCCTCGATCCACTTCTCGTACTCCCTGTTGGTCGCGATGAGCTGTGGGGCGGCCGGCAGCGCGATCTGCACGCCTCCCGGCGTGTCAATGGTGCCTCCGTTGCTGACGTCCAGCAGATTCACGAGGTACTCTTCAAGCGGCTGTCTCCCTGCCCGGGCATTGCCCTTTGGCGCGTAGTCGTCAAAGATGCGGGGAACCCCTGGCTTGAGCAAGCCCCTCCTGTAAGCACTCTTCAGCCCGTTGGGGTTGCCGGAAGACAAATAGTAAGGGCTGCGCGAATCGCCCTGGTAGCGGATGGCCAGCACCTGCGCCGATGCGTGCAGGATGGCTGTCTTGGCCGAGCCGGCGTCTGATAAGAGGACGGCGGTTCGCTCGAGGTGTTCTCGGCTATTGAGCCAGTGGAGGAAATCCATGCTCCGTTCACCCGCGAGGGGGCACCACGTCTTTCCCATCCAGGTCTCTGGCTGGCAGAAGTCCGTGGGCATGTGCAGCCCGTCGGCTTGCACCGCGCGGTAGCAGGGATCCTGGCGCTGCTGCTCCGCTGCGCGCTGCCTCTTCATGTCCCGGCCGCGCAGAGCCTTGAGCTCCGGGCTGCACTTCTTGATGGCGTCGGCGTCCGGCACTAAACCCTGGCGAGCGTCGGCGATGGTGCAGAGGAGCTCGGTCTCGCTCAGCTGTCGCATGTCCTCGCGCACCTGCTGGCACCGGACGCTGGGCTCCTCAATCACACGCATGTTCGATGTGGTCTCCTCGGCTTCGAACCAGGCGCGAGCAAAATCCACGATGGCACGGGATCCCGCCTGCCCTGCGCCCGGCTTTGGAATTTCGTAGGCAGCTGTGGGACTCGCCGCCTGGGAAAGGCTGCTCAGATCAACGATGGCCGAATCACCTTTGTAGACCAGCGCCCAATATTCGCCGGCCTCCCGCCTGACGCTGAGGCGGCGACTGCCCGCAGCGCCCAAGCCTTCCCAGATCGCATTGTACACTGCCGCTGTGGTGTCGAGCCCGCCGCGATCGACCGCGCAAACTGTCCAGCGGGTGCGTTTCGCCATGATGAGACTCTCGCGGCGCAGGAGGTGCGGCAGCACAGCCCCCTCGCCATGCGCTGTCTCACGGTCGCACACCTCGAAGCCTTCGGGGAGTGCGAGCATACCTGGTGGGCACACAAATATACACTCCGAATCTCGAGCCAAACGCACTGAGTGCAGAACACAGGAACATAGGATCCATCCTGTGTTCCTGTGTACCCACACGTAGCCACGGCACAGGAAGATAAGGGCGTGCGCTGCGAGCGCCAAATGAAACCCGCACCTGCCAAATAAGGACGGCACTTGCCAAATAAAACCGCACCTGCCAAATAAGAAGGGCACCTGCCAAATAAAACGGTAGCTGCAACCCATATCGCAATGATTTGCGGCGGGCCCAGGCCATGTCAGGGGTTGCACCCATTTGCCGATGCACACTGGGCCACACTGCGCACTGCGTCTTTTTGCGCACACTGCTCACTGACTCCTGCCAAACGCGGGTGCAAGCAACGCGTGCGCATTCATGTACGGCCAGCCGGGATGAAGCACAAAAGGGATTACCTTTACTTTGGTCTCCACCACCCTCCCAGGCGCGTCTATCTACGTTGTACCTCTACCTTCTAGGCGAGCCGGCCTGGGCTCCAGGAATCGTTTCTGCGCAATCCATGCGCGAGCTTTCGGTCAGGGCGGCAGCGGCTCGGTGCAGGCGCCGGCCGTGCTCACGATTTCACTCATTTTCTGTCGCCTACAACGCGAAACGCTATAGCCTCTGGAGCCGGGAGCCTGGATATAAAACCCTCTTAGTGGAAGGCCTGGGCCCCCAAATGGCTCAAATGTCTACTGGAAGGCATATGGGGCCCCCGTAATAATTACGCCAGGCCTTTATTATTGTTATGGGACCCACGTAAAATTCGGGTGCTTGTGGCATATGAGGCGCACGGTCACATTACAGCCGCACTGCCGGCACGCTTTTTGCACACACGCGCCAAATGCGCTGGCGAGTTGAGGGTCTCAGCTACCTACAGCAACCGTCAGAGGGCCTTCGCCTGGCACCACCCTCAACTCCGACGGCACGGCCTTGCCTTTGGCCCACCGTCCCTCCAAACGACGACCATCGGGAAGAGTATTGACACCATAGCCATGGAAGCGGCCGCGGCGCCATTCGCATCCGTGCGAACGCCAAGGCCGTGCATCGAGCTAGTGCACAGCTTGCACATGCAATAGAAGTGGCTCTCCCGTTGATTCGTGGCGTGTTCTGTGGGAACGCCGCCAAGAGAGTGCGGCGGGGACGCGATCCGGCCCTCGTAACGAAACTCTGTGCCACCGCCAAGAAGCGCTGCTCTGACCCTCCTCCGCTGCCAAACACCCTGGCCGTGGGGCAGGTCAGTGTGAAATTCTCCTGTGTAGACCCACTCATCCATGCCCGGGGAGGTCCACGTCAGCCTGCCCTTGCCGTGCGCAGTGCCCAGGAAGCATTGGCCGACGTAGGAGATGACCTGCTGGCGGCGCCCCATGCCATGGTAGCGCCCGCGGTAGAAGCTGCCTTGGCACTTGCCCACGCAGTGTCCGGGAAAATCGGCTCGGCGGAGGACGCCATTGCCATGGTAGCGCTGCTGGGCATCTCGCTCGCCGGCGTACTCGTCGCCTGCCCGCGGCGCCTCGCCGAGCAGCGCCCGCTCCACCTCGCCATCGCCAGGCTCGGCAAGGCTGCGGCCGCGCTGGTGCTTGCAGCAGTACTGGGTGATGGCTGCCTCGGACACGCCTTTGCGGCAGCGTCCCTGGCCCACGCGCGCCCTGCAGCGCATAGGCTCGTTCAGCCGCGCAATGTCGAGACCACGCGCTTGCGCCTCTGCGCGCGCGTCGGCGAGGTAGTGGCGTATAGTCTCTCCCAGCGCTTTGGGCAGAGTAGCTTTGGACGTGCAGCGGAGGCGGCGAGCGGAGCGACAATCCATTTGGCCGTGGGGGCGACTGGTGGATCCAAGGCAACACGCGGAAGGACAATCTTGAGCCAATGCTGCGGAAATGTGGTGTCCATTGTGCGCATGCGATGTGCATCAACGAGCACGACAGTGCGCAGTAAGGCCAGGAGGGCACCTCCGGACCTAAAGGCGCGTTACAAGCTTATTGGCACGCGTGCGTGCAACTGCTTAGCGCAATGCTTCCCGTTCTCCTTCTTTCCTTTCCCGCTGTGCTCCTATCTGTGCCTGCACTGCGCTGTGGTGCCGACACCCACCTCCTTTTCCACGCGCGCTTTCGCGCACCTGTTCTGTCAGAGGCACACTCTCTTGCTACACTAGTCTGTCAGCAACTCAGCAGCGCCCGGCGAGCATCGGCCGCACCTGCCGCCAGAGCTCGGCGTAGTCTTCAGAGGCCTGCCCGCGACGAGGACGTCCTTCTGGCAAGACCAGCTTGCGGAACTCGCAAAGCATGTGCTCGACGTTCTGGGCCGCCAGCGGGCACAGGCCGAGCTGCTCCAGCTTGGCGACGATGCCGTGGCGGTCCCGCTTCTTCAATTCATCCGGAAGCGCACGCAGAAGCCGGTCGAAGACGATGTCGGCCGCTTTGCCCCAAGGCATCTTCACGGCCTCGCGCGCGGCCCCTGCCTCCATGCCGTCGAGCAGCCATAGGCCCAGCTCCGCGAAGTCGCCCAGGTCTCGGCGATTCCAATTGCAGAGGCGCGCGCCTGCCACGGCCAGGAGGCGCAGGACCATGAGTTCGCGAAACGCTGGGAGCTCCAGGCTCTGCAAACTGTGCGGGCGCCCATCCCGGAGGCTCTGCATGATGCCGGGGATCTTGGCCGCTAGCTCGTGCGCGAAGCGACCACAAGCGTCGATCTCGGGCCCGGCGCCCAGCAGGCTGAGCACGCCCTGCTTCAGATGCGCAGGCACGACCGCCTTGGCGCCGGGGTAGTGCTGCTCGTGGCGCGCGCGGAACTCATCGGGCGTCGGCGGGCGCTGCACGCTGAAGGGGCCGAGCTTCTCCAATTTGCGCCAGCTCGGCAGGATCGTCTGCCCGAGGACGACGTTGCACAGCGCGTCCTCAGAGACTTCTCCCTGGGAGAGGAAGTCCTTGATTAGTTTCAAGGACGTCGTGTCTGTCAGGAAGCTGACGGTGCAATGAGCCGATGTCTCGTAGGCCTCCGCCATGCTGCGGCTCAGCGCGCGCAGCTCGCCTAGATACTCCTGGAAGGCGGTGGCCTCGAGCTGGCCAGCGCACTGCAGGAAGTCCGCGGCAAAGGTGAGCATCGCGGCAGCGAACTCGTCCAAGCGCGGCAACTCTGGAAGGGGTGGAGCCGCCGCAGTCTCGTCGGCTACCTCGTTGGGGCCTTCCTCGCCGCATCCTGGCGGGCAAATGTGACACTCCGGGCACATCCCGCCCGAGAGCATCAGGCAAGGCTCCTCGCATGCCAGGCATATGCCGACGGAGTCGGCGCAGTCGCTGCCGGCGCCGTCCGCGGCTGAGGCTGCTGCAGAAGGCGCCTCAGGGACCTCTGAAGACGAACGCATTGGCGAGGACGCCGTGCTCATGGAGACTGCGCTGGCGGAGGCGGCAGTGGAAACATCATCACGCCCGGCCGCCCGCAGGAACTTCCGTTCGCGCTCGAGGCCTGCCTCGACCAGCGCTCCCATATCTTCCTCGCGGCGCTTCTGGAGCGCGGCCTTCACCAGCACGCGGTCAGGCAACGTGAAGAAGACAAAGCGCCTGCACACCGCGTGCTGCAGCTTGATGTCGAACGTCCTGAGCTCCTCAATCCACTTCTCGTACTCCCTGTTGGTCGCGATGAGCTGCAGGGCGGCTGGCAGTACGATCTGCATGCCTCCCGGCGTGTCAGTGGCGCCTCCGTCTTTGACGTTCAACAGATTCACGAGGTACTCTTCAAGCGGCTGTCGCCCCGCCCTGGGATTGCCCTTTGGCGTGTAGTCGTCGATGATGCGGGGGGCGCCTGGCTTTAACAAGCCCTTCTTGTACGCGCTCTTCAGGCCGTTGACGGTACCGCAGCTTAAATAATAAGGGCTGCGTGCGTCGCCCTGGTAGCGGATGGCCAACAACTGCGCTGAGGCGTGCAGGATGGCTGTCTCGGCAGAGCCGGCGTCTGATAAGAGGACGGCGGTTCGCTCGAGGTGCTCCCGGCTATTCAGCCAGTGGAGGAAATCCATGCTCCGTTCGCCCGCGTGGGGGCACCACGTCTTCCCCATCCAGGTCTCCGGCTCGCAGAAGTCTGTGGGCATGTGCAGCCCGTCGCTTTGCACCGCGCGGTAGCAGGGATCCTGGCGCTGCTGCTCCGCTGCCCACTGCCTCTTCATCTCCCGGCCGCGCAGAGCCTTGAGCTCCGGGCTGCACTTCTTGATGGTGTCAGCGTCCGGCACCAGACCCTGGCGAGCGTCGGCGATGGTGCAGAGGAACTCCGTCTCGCTCAGCTCTCGCATGTCCTCGCGCACCTGCTGGCAGCGGATGCTGGGCGTCTCCATCGCACGCATGTTCGATGTGGTCTCCTCGGCCTCGAACCAGGCGCGAGCAAAATCCACGATGGCACGGGATCCCGCCTGCCCTGCGCCCGGCTTTGGAATTTCGTAGGCAGCTGTGGGACTCGCCGCCTGGGAAAGGCTGCTCAGATCAACAATGGCCTGGTCGCCCTTGTAGACTAGCGCCCAATATTCGCCAGCGGCCCGCCTGACGCTGAGGCGGCGGTTGCCCGTCGCACCCAAGCCCTTCCAGATCGCGTCGAACACAGCCGCTGTGGAATCAAGCTCGCCGCGATCGACTGTGCAAACTGTCCAGCGTGATGAAAAGGTTCGGTACCCCCAACCCTGATCATGTTTTTTTTTTTTTGCGTTTTTTTGTTTGTTGTAATTTTCAATTGCCATATGTTGTAAAACTAGACGTCGTTTTGTATTTTGCCTGGTTGTTGTTTTGCATTAATATTTTATTGTGTTTTGCGTTTATATTTGAGCGTGTTGCGTTGCCATATTTCGAAACATAATGAATGCATTAGAGACTGTGCGCGGTGTGCCGAAAAAACATATATATTTAATAAAATATCAACATTGTAACGGTTGAATTCCGTATTAAAGCACATACATTGTACTTATGATATTGTGCTAGTGCAGGACGGTCATATTCCTTGTGCGAGCCACACAGTCATTGCATGCTTACATTGTTGACAAATGTTACGCATGATTGCGGGTTGTTGCTCAAATTGAGTTTGTTATGTTTTGTTATTTCTACATGTGCAACACAGTAAAACATAACAGTACATTGTATGAACTCAAGCATTGTCATAATGTAGCAGGAGCAATCATTGCCATCATGCGTTCGCATTAGCAAATTGTTGCATTTCGAGCACATGTGATCAGATTGCACGATGCAGTATGCTTCTGGCATGATTTATGCATTGCTTCATGTACACGCAAATTTTGTGACTCACTGTGTTGTTGTTATTGCTATTTAGTCATGCAAAGGTTCCGTACCCCCAACCCTGACCATGTGCTTTTTGTTGTTGTTGTAATTTTCAATTACCATATGTTGTAAAACTAGAAGTCGTTGTGTCTTTTGCCTGGTTGTTGTTTTGTATTCATATTTGGTTGTGTTTTGCCTTTATATTTGAGCGTGTTGCGTTGCCATATTTCGAAACATAATGAATGCATTAGAGGCTGTGCGCGGTGTGCCGAAAAAACATATAGATACATTCAATAAAATATCAATATTGTAATGGTTGAATTCCGCATTAAAGCACATACATTGTATACATGATTTTGTGCTAGTGCAGAACACAATCAAATATTAATGCAAAACAACAACTAATTCCAGTTGTGTCGATATCTTGAGTCGTTGCATGAAATCACAAAGGATTGGAAGCACATATCGTTTGCAGGGCCAGATGCGTCGAAACTAACACCTGATTTGGTTGCTAATGTGTCAGCAGTTATGCACAAAGGTCTCGTAGGCGTATGTCCACCTCAGGATAAAGGAAATAATAAATTTTGTTGATTAAATATAGTTTCATTGTTATATAGTGTAGCTAGGATATCAGACAGCAAACCTACTAATATCAGGTATGGTTTTTAATTGATTTTGCATTGATTTTCGAAGCAAATGTCAAGCCCAAATCCATCAAAAATCCATGACATCGTCAGGGGTAGCGATTAGTGTACTAGGTATTCATGCAGCGAAATGCAATTTTGAACACTTTTCCGTACCCTTGAACCCCTGATAGCCGTCGGCGTGGAAACCAAGCCTGGGATGTACTAATTTCATAACGCGTTTTGATGCTACCGGGGGCTCCCGGAAACTACCTGAGGCTACCTGAGGTTACCTGAGGCTTCCTGAGGCTCCCTGGGTTTCTGAAGCCGCCTGAGGCTCTTTGCTGATTTCTGAGGGTCCCTGATGCGTCCTGAGGGTTCCCAAGGGTGCCTGATGTTTCATAAGACGATGCCTTTTGGTGCTTCCGGATGCGCACTGTAAGGTTCTGATGCTTTTTAATGCGCTCTGAGGCTCTCTGAGGCCTCCTGAAGATGATGTATGTGTTTGTCATGCAGTATATGGAACATTATATATGGTATATAGAAATCCAATGATTGTGTCATGCAAATGTTTTTGGTCATTCACAGGTCATGCGTGCATGCATGCATCTTGTGGTGCATATGTTGCTATGTGAAGCGCATTGGTGTGGACGTATAAAAGATATAATATACATATTATAATTTCATTGATGGTATATAAGCATCATGCAATTTTGCTCTGCGTTGTAACATCGTTGTGTATATAATGTAAAGATAGTGTCACGTGCTGCGCATTGATGCAGAGCTTACATCGAACAAAGAACTGTGAGGCATTCACATTTTGCATTAGTTTGATTGCTGTTCTCATGTTGTTTTTTTTATATGTTTGAATTAACATGTTTTTCACTTGCTTGTGCAGACCGTCTCGTATGTAGCATGCAACCGTACACATA